TGTATGTAATGTTGACTGGATACTATTTTATGATCATAAACAAGCTTCTTTCCAAGTTTGGTAGAAATCCAGGATAGTTTAAGAAAGTTATTAAAATTTCAAAAACTTTAACCACAGAGTGAATATTTGTGGACGCCGCCGACGACGACGCCGACGGAATGTAGGATCGCTATGTCTCGCTTTTTCGACAAAAGTCGAAGGCTCGACAAAAATCAGGCATATTCGTGAAATGGCAGCTATGTGGATTGAATTATGATGCTTTTATCATAATCATTTTGGAAACTGATCAGATAGATGTAGCTATTACTAATGCTAACGTGGCTGTCAAACGACCTCTACAACCAATGGTGGTGTTTAACGAACTTTACAACCCACGATGGTCTTGCGAGGTCGGAGTACTAATGATGAAAGGTTTCGACCATTTTCGTCAAGAAAGCTTTTTTTCTTTGTCATGGACTCTTTTTTTTTATCTTTTGTTATTTAGGTTCTTTATGTAGCGTGTTTGTTTGGATATGTTGTTGGTTGTAATCCTATTTTAACATGCCATGTTCTTACATAGGAAACGGTCGTATTGACATATATATATGTTCGACCTGCTAGTCAAATGCGTTTTGTTAAAATATACTTTTTTTCACTTTTTTGGTCTTTTGGAAAATATTGCTTGTGCTGTATTTAGACCCCTCTACCAAGAAATATGTTTTGCATGCACACGTATAAAAATTGCGGTTTTTATCGAACGCAATCATAGGTTTGAACGTTGTTTTCAATTTAGACTTGTTTATATTTTATAATTATTCGTTTGGGCTTGTTTTATATTTGCCTTCGAGTTTATATAATCCGTTCATCCTATTTCGACTCTTCAAAATTCAAGAGTCAATCCTAAATTGAGGTAAATTATATGGCCTTCCAAATACCGTTTCGATTCCTAACATCACTGAAGAGACATTAATTGTCGAAATCCGGATATGGTGTACAAATTTTTGCGCCTAATGTTTGCGGTATACCATCTTTTCCGCAAGTTTATTGTTTTCTGTTTGGTATTAAATTAATAATTAAGATCCATTTTGTTACATCTGGTGGTCCGTTTATTTGGCAATCGCCATGGCAGTCAGTAGAGTTTAAGAACATATGTTGTTCGACCTGCTAGTCAAATGCGTTTTGAAAAAATATGCTTTTTCACTTTTTTTGTCTTTTGGAAAATGTTGTTTGTGCTGTATTTAGACCCCTCTACCAAGAAATATTTTTGCATGCACACGTATAAAAATTGCGGTTTTTATCCAACGCAATTATAGGTTTGAACGTTGTTTTCAATTTAGACTTGTATATATATATATATATATATAAAACGTCTAGATATGAAGCAACGATCTTTCTTACGAGGGCGCTGGATCGATACGAGTAACGATGCATGTACACAATAAATGAATTATATAAACGCCTAAAAAGTGTACAAAACAACACCAATATTAAAAAAAGTAGACAATAAATGTAATTATCTATAAATATTTCGGATAACAGGTGTCGGTCATCAGTATGATACATATATATATATATAAAATGACTGAATAATAGCCAACGATAAATCTTACGGGGCGATGGATCATATTAATATGATACACTACACTACAAAATATAATATATAACCAGTCTAAAAGGGTACAACATCACCAAAAAATGACAATAAACGAACAAATGTAACTATAAATATTTCGGATAACAGATATCCTTCATCAGTATGAGCAGGATGTAAAATGAATCAGATCAATCTATTCTGATTATTAAACTATAGCAATCTTGAATTCTATACAATAAAAAAAGTGAAACAGTTTCACCCGAACATCATATGTAGAGACGCTAATAATTTTTTTAAATTTCCAAAAAACGACTCAAAGACATGCCTAAAATGAAAATAGTAATTAGAGATATGAACTGGCACAACTCTAAAATTCCAAACTGACGTCAGTTAAGATGTTACAACAACTGCGTGTAAATACATTCCCCCAAAAAACAGCACTGATCGATATAAGCTGGTAAAATATGTCTAACAGAGGCTGCGTATTTATCATCCCAAATAAATAGCAGTTTTATAATGAAAAGAAAAAATAATAGTAAATTTGGGCTAAGGTTAAAAAATTGGACGTGGATGCGTACTTGTACATCCCTACCAAATGAAAAGAACCCTGGTATTTAAACTAGTAAAATTCAAAAAATTCCAAAAGAATCCTTAAAACTGTAAGATTCAAGTAAGGAAGCCGGAGTAACTGGAAACAAATGATGTAAGGAAAATGAGTGATGGTAGGGAAAATGAGTGACTATGTTTTTTCATTTATGCCCTCTGGGGAAACTGTCCTTAGCTTTCTTATCCAAAACCTTTCCCGAGCAAGTCTTTCGGCCCTTGACCAACCCTCGTTGTGGTCTATGATTGTGATTGTAAGGTTTTTGAGATCAGCTTGGGCGTGCACAGGTGATCTCAAATGACGACTTACGGGGAGGTCGGGCTTGCAGGTGTAGTCACTTCGATGACCATTCATGCGTTTGTTGAATGGCTGTTCTGTCTCGCCAATATACTGCATGCCACATCGACACTGAAGAAGGTATACAACATTCTGTGTTTTGCAAGTTACATTACAAAATATAGTGTACACAGACCCAGTGGAGTGGCAATATATATATATATATATATATATGTGTTACAGGCATTTTCTAAATTAAGGCATTTTGTAAAATGACTGAAATTTTAAGGCATTTTCTAAAATGCCTGTGCGATTCAGGCATTTTATAAATTGACTATTTTTTTCAGGCAATCTATAAAATGCCTGAAAAAATTGTAAGGCATTTTACAAAATTCCTGAAGGAATAAAACAGAATGAAATGTACAGAAAAATAGAACGACTGGAAATATCAAACAGACCAGTTTATTTAATTATTGAATAGCATGCAATTTTTAACAATTGAAGTTGCTTAAATTGAATGATTTACAACGAACACAAGCACTGAAGTTGACAATTATTTGTTACTACATGCAATGTTTGGATAACAACAACTGTTACACAATTGTCCAGATTTTTTTCCGATTAGGGGACTTAAAAATAACAATCAGAAGAAAAAAAACAGAACAAAAACAATAAGTCTAAATGCGTCGTCGATTGATTGTTGCATGCTAAACGTCCAGTGGCAAATATTTCATGCATATTCAGAGCGGTTTTTGCAAGGACATAATAATAAGAGATTCGCTATACAAGATCTTACAGAAATAGTCAACTAATTCATCATATAAGATATTGTCCTTATTTGACTTGACCTTTTCTTCAAAATATTCATTGAGTGCATCAGATTTTTATTTTGCATATTTTTCCAGGTGAGCGATTCAGATTCCTAGGAGCCTCTAATTTTTTATTTACTAATGTTTGTTATGAAAACTGTAAAACAACATTGTAAAGAGAAGGTCATTAAATGACCCTCTGAAATACAGAGCAAAGTAGTTTTTCTATATGAAGTTCTAGTTATAGACATTAAAACTATCAAAACCTCAACATTTACCTGCAGGCTACATTTTTTTTATGGATAATCTTTATTTTACTCAACATTTCTTTGCTTTACAAGATATTTTTATCATCTATTTCATGTATTTCATATTTATACAATTTGCCTGAAACTGAACAGGCAATTTGTTGAATTTTCATTAGAAATTTCAGGCTTTTTAGAAAATGACTAGGTTTTTTAGGCGTTTTATAAAACGCCTGTCAACTTTAGGCAATTTAGAAAATGTCTAAAAATTCAGTCATTTTACAAAATGCCAAAATTTAGAATAAGTCTGTAATATATATATATCCGAATTGAATTACATTAAGAAATCATTGAAAACAAACGTTCTCGGATAATCACAATTGAAAAATAAAACGTGAGGATAAATAACTTCACTGGTCATGTTAGCTTCAGGGGTTCACCGAGAAATATTAATAACTTTGCTCTAATTGTCGGAAAAGCGACATTAAGTACTCCTAAGTTTGTAGTGTAAACATTTTTAATGAAAAAACAACATAAATAACAACAACATAATTCTATTTGTAGGCACCTGTACTTCAGATACTTTACCAGGTAATGCATTTTGATTTTATTATTTATATTATATATATATATTTCTTACATATTTTTTTCTTAAATAAAAAAGTATGTGGGGTATACGCCAATGAGACAGCGACCTAACGACAGATATACATAAAGAAATAATAAGTTTAACGCTATAATCATCAAAAAGCTTTTTTTCACGAAAATTCTTACGATCTTATTTATGCAAATATTTTTTTTCGTGAAAAGATTGCCTGAAATAAAAGATGAATATCGCAGTTGTTTCAGACTTTGAACTTTCCTATAGAACAGCACAGATTACAAGATAATCAAATGAATTTGAAGCAATCTAATAAAAATTAGTTCTCCGCACTTGCTCCTCATTTTCCTTCAGTTGTTTATATGTCGCGTGTGGGACCGAACGAAAATGAGGAGCAAGTGCAGAGAATTAATTTTAATCAGATTGATTTTTCAGAACTTTTATGGTAAATTGAATTATGTTTTATATATGAATAAACAGTTACAAACATTATTCTTATCTTTGTAAGATAAATTCTTTGGTTTGCTCCAGAGCGTTGTCGAAGAAAGAAATATTTTAACTGCTAAGTCTTAATGCATTGCTGACTCAATGTCTTCAAAATTGTGAAATAAAAAGTAGAGAAACCTTTGGTTTATTCCAACGCCCTCTGTTGTAATAGACAATCGATAATTAATCGATGTTTTAGACGAAAATTGACCACCTCAGTCATTTATTCACCCATCATTCATGAATTCAAACCAGTTAACCATTTATATTTCTAGCTGTATTCTATTCTTAAATACCAGATTTAATTAACTCAGAATCATAGACCTTGACTGGCCAAAACAAATGAAAACAATGAGAAATAATATTAAATGTTTATTTTTTATATATAGTTATTCGAATGTGTATGGGTGGAGCAGCTATTGGTCAATCAATATTGATGGATTTTACGGATGCAGATTTATATAACTTCCCTACATGTGCGTGTGACGTGATCATTAATGGTGGAAATACTCTGTCTTTTAGCCAGATATACGCCCCAGGCTACATTCAGTGTGGAACTTCTATTACTATAAAAGATAACACTGGAGACATACGTTATATTGTGAACTGTTCAGGACAGACAATGGTAAACAACTTAAAAAAAGGTGATACTATCGAAGTCATACTAAAGCGTCATTTCAATGATGCTGACGCCAAATACTGCTATCGATTGGATATCTGTGAGTGATACTTTTATTCAATGTTTAAAAAATAACTAAATGATGATGCAATACGCCAATGATATGTTGTAAATCGGAGGGTGGTATTAAGACATGAAGTATATATCACAGTGTGCGGGGTTTTCTGCATGTTATGTATCAGAGGGGGTGTATCAGTATGTGGTTATCAGATGGTGGTATACCATTATTTTATATATCACAGAGGGTGGTGTATAGGGATAGGGGATATCATCGGGTGGTGTACCATTATTTTATATATCACAGAGGGTGGTGTTCCGGTATAGGGGATATACGAGGGTGGTATACCATTATTTTATATATCACAGAAGTTGGCGTACCGGTATAGGGGATATTCGAGGGTGGTATACCATTATTTGAATTATCACAGAGGGAGGTGTACCGGTATTTGATATACCACAGAGGGTGGAGTACCGGTATAGGGGATATCCGACGGTTGTATACCATTATTTAATAAATCGGTGTACCGCTTTTTGATACATACCACAGAGGGTGGTTTACCGTAATAGGGAATATCAGAGGGTGGTATATTGGTAAGGGCTATATAAAGGGGTTGTTTATCGGCATGTGGTAAATTAGAGGGTGGTAATGTTGAAAATGTGTTTTATCTTACCTCCTATACATTTCTAGGAATATGATTGGTTAAAAGCAACCGCGTGGAGACCGTGTATATTCCATATTGGGTTAGTATGCGGGGCTTATTTCAATACACGGTTAGTAGTGGTGTTACGTTCCTTTATAAAAACAACACAATGTTTGGGAAAAATCTTAAAGGTTTCAACAGACGAAGAAATTGATGATGAACGATTGAAATAAATTCATAAAACACATTTAAAGTTAACAAGTTGTTATTGTTGGCATTTGTTTTTGTATAGACCAATGGAAGTAGGTTCTTAATACTAACGGTATTGAAGACTTGATCACTTTGATAGGCCACTAGTCTATATATACCACATGTTAAGATAGTCGGTAAGATAAATTCGTTACATAGTGTGCTAGTGACCTAATACGACATATATGTGCAACTTCTTACAATATCTTACCATATCATTAATCATGTTAATGTCCCGATACACATTTTAATATGCACCCACCATGCCATATAGCACCGTCCCTTGGTGCCTCCTGCATTTAAGCTAGATATATTTAGCCTACTCACAGAATTCTTTTTTTTTTTGTTACTTTCTAGTGGTGTGCCTGAGACGAAGGTTTTTATATATACTCCTATATATGTACGAATATGTGAAAACTGTTGTTTCTTATTTGTGTTTGTAACTATGTATACTGTATTGTTCATTAAATTTGTAAAAATAATATTATCATGATATTATATTATGCTCCTTGTGAGCCCATTTGATGGAAATAAAGCATCTTCTTCTTCTTCTTCTTCTTCTTCTTCTTCTATATGAGGTCAGTAAATTCCATTTGGCGATTCGAGCTTCGTTCTCAGCCCATATGGAATTTACTGACCCCATATATATCGTATGAGGTCACTAGCACACTATATATGTAGAAGATTATATCTAGAGCTATTCATCAGAGGGTGGAATGTCGTCATGTGGTATTTAAGAGGATGGTTTATCGGTACGGTGTATCAAAGACATTGGTTTATGAGCTTATGGTTTATCGATATGGAGTTGGGTATATCGATATATTGCTTATCGGATGTATAGATTATCGGGTTAAATGGTAGTTTTTCTATCTTGCATTTTTATATGATAGTTTTTAGAATCAATATTGATTATATTTCAGCTGGAACCAAATCCCCTTCCATCCAGGTTAGTTGTCAGAAGCATACAACATCCACAACAACTACCACAACCACCGTGACCACGACAGAGAACAAACTAACAACTGGGTCGTTAGAATATAACACTTCCGATAATACCACGGCATACAGGCATAATCAAGATATGTTAAACGAGAATTGTCAACAACAGACAACAGGTGAGATGTCATTTCACTCGGGGGGAGGGGGGGGGGGGATACTTCCTATATACAAGGTGATAAGACGTGCCGCTTGAATAGGTCACAATTTTCCAGCTTAAAAATATGTGAATAGGTGGGGAAAACTATCAGAAATATATGAAAAGGTCAATAAGAGTTCCAATTACTTGCATATGAAAAGCCCTGTCATTTTTTCACAGCCGAAAGTCTCGCCGTAAGTGAACATTACATACAGAATCTTAGCCTTAACATTCCACTTTTCCAACACGCCACACTAAGCCCAAACAATATGGGAAAAGGTTACACTTTTACCTACGCAATATATGAAAAGGTATATATTTTTAAGATCTAAATTATATTAAAAGGGTGGGGTAACAGAACCCCAGCGACACCCCTATCAATAAAGTATTGAAGTGCCCCCCCCCCCCCCCCGAGTCATTTCATAACTCCCCACAGAGGACCAATGAAATACACAGTTATAATTCTAATAATAGTTGTTGTTGTAGTGGTCGGTAATATATTAGAAAATACATATCCATTCCATTTGTCTATTTAGTTTGTTCACTAGACCTTCACATAATGGCAGAAAATTATGGTGATATCAAATGAGTATCTTTTTAAAAACAAACAAAATAAAACTGAACACTTCAGCTGATCACAGACGCTGGTAATATGCAAAAGGGAATATAACGTGACATTGAAATTGCATCTGAAAATTTTAGGTGACTTCTTTCTTACCTAAAGACACATTTCATTAAAGTTAACATTGAGACATAAATTAAATGTTATCATATTCTCCTTAAACATTGTATAACCGAAACACGGAAGCATTAAACTTATCACCGGAAGATCTAACATATCTTTCTTAGAAAAATTTCCGTTATCCGTTTTTTTCCTCAACGTCCGCCTAGCCTTCTATGTCATTTCCTTGCATTATTTAAAAGCATGATAATCATAAACTACATGTATTTTGTACATCTTTCAGTGGTTGTCTTGGCGTCTTTATTTGGAGTGTGTTTGATATACAGTGTTGCCATAACCATATATATCATAAGAAGGTAAGAATATCACCATTTATTAAACTGCAGTGAACCATCCTGGCTAATCCTGCAGTTTGATTGGTTACCTTGACAGGGTATATAAACTCATCATAGATACCAGTAAATTTTGTACACCAGACGCACATTTCGTCTACAAAAGACTCATTAGTGACGATCGAATTTAAAACAAAATAAAAGGCCAAATAAAGTACGAAGTTGAAGAGCATTGAGACCCAAATTCCAAAAGGTTTTACCAAATACATTATATTATTATAAGTTATCTATACTTATACCATATAGATATGGGTATTTTAACACCCTGAAGTACCGCCGGTCTTTAGGGAAATTCGGGCACACAGTTTGATTGCCGAGTTTATGAGCTTCGGTCCTTGCTTGAAAGTTGGGTGGCCAAGTGATGCATTTACTAAAAAAAGAAAGCCAATAATCGGCATAATAGGATAAAATCGTTAGTCGATTACATATTTAATTACAGACATCATGGATAATTTACAGAATTCAATTTTTCACTGGAACAACAATGCACGGAACTAAGGGAAACGCGCACCAAGTTCTCCGGGTTAATTGGTTGCAACTCCGGTATATGGGTTAGCAACACTCAGGGCTATGGGTTATTTAACGACGTGTCATTAGCCAATCGAAATACTAGAAATATACTAACCTCTATTATTCCATCTTAGTTCTGGAGTCATGGTTCAGATCGAATGTTTGAAACTACCGGAAAACCATTCAGACTTCAAAACAGAATATTCGATATGTAAAATTAAATCAAAAGCATACAAATCTATATATATATATATATTTTTATCCAACGCAATCATAGGTTTGAACGTTGTTTTCAATTTAGACTTGTTTATATATATATATATATAACAAGCAAGTCTAAAAGGGTACAACATCGCCAAAAAAAAACAAAACAAACTAAAATCATGAACAAATGTTAAATATTTAGATAACTAATATCCTTCATCAGTAAGATGTCAAATGATTCTTATCTTGACATGTGGTAGTCAAACTGCAATAATGATCTTGATCGTTATACAAATTATATATTATTATTTATATATATATATATATATTTAGAAACTACCCCTTTACAACGGGGGCACTTGCGGACGGGGTATCCACAAATGCGTCTAACAGCATATGCAATGAATATATACAGACAAGTAAAAAATATTCATATGTCATTTTCAGGGTTAACAATTGGTACATTATAAAATAAGACAGCTTACATAAAAGAAATACATATTATGTACAACTTAAAAATATAAATTAACCTAAGAGTTACGTAAATAATATTACATAAACAAATAACATTTAAACTTTTACTAATATAGGGATAAATCTGATAAAAATAATCACCAATCAGTATTTGTTTCTTATCGTAGGACGATAACTATGTAAAGCAGAGGCCCGGAAAAGTAGAACTTAGACATTCATTTAGATTCAGTAATGTATTTATTTCGTATAAAAGAAAATTCAGGACACTCAAGTAGGAAGAGTTCAACAGACTCGTTAGATTTACATTAACACATTTGGCAAGTGGGACTTTCGCTAAGATTCATCCTATATAAGACTTGGTTCAAAGGTAAACAGTTTGTTCGTGTTAACAATTTTAGTCTTGCAGACTTAAAAGTCCAGCAAAAGATACCAGAATAAACAAAAAAAAATAACGAATTAAAACATTGTTCAACACTTTGTGATACAAGCAGAAAGTCTATGAAAAAAAAATATAAGGAATACAGAACTGTTATTCCTGTTCTAATGCAGTGCTATTAACATGATTAAATGTTTAAATTTAAACATTTCAAATATCCCGTAAACGTTCACTGCGATTGAGCAATGTTGTTACCAATGATTAATACCGTCAACCGTGAAATTGACGGCAGACGTTATCCAATCAAGATTGGCGTTACTTGCCTTATTGCATTAGAAATCACAATTACAATGCTGGTGATACGGCCTAACAAAATGAACCTTTCTTTCTTTCAGGGGAAAACCAAAACCCGTTGTAGACGAATGTATTGACAGACATCGTGATGGTGACGACATATATGAAGAAATTCGACCATCATATATAGCACCACATAATATTCCTATTTATAATCCTTCAACTCGTCCGTTACCAAACCCAAACACAAGTCAGACAAAATTAAGGAAAACGCCACTTCCGTCACATATGAATAATACTTATGATCGAGCGGAAGAAAAAATTGGACAAACTATTTACGTTAATCAGAGATTTTAGTACCATATTAACGAATGGTCAGTTGTTTGCTGAGCACTTAATCGAAATTACAACATTCAGATGATATAATGTCCCAGTTTTATACGTTACGTGTATTGTATTCTTTTTATTGTAAATTTCCAGTTAAGCTACGATAAAAAGAAAGGGGATTTTAATTTCTGTATTGGTCGAAATGATAAGGTCACTTGTTTGGTCCCTGGAAATAAAAAATCTAAAAGTACTATTAATCTGTTAGAGAACATAATTCAGAAATTTACAAGCCATTAGTCTGTCAGATTTTGAATTGTTCTTACGTGTTTTCTTCTTTTTGTTTTATTTTCTTTCATTTCATGCAAAATTGAAAATCTTTAAGGAAATAACTGTAATATTTTTTTTCTGTCTAGGAAGAAATAACTTCAAAAATGTGGTGCACACCGAATAACATGCGTAGCGGGTTATTTAATAGTGTGCACCACATTTTTAAGATAATTTCGAATAGACAAAAACAATATTACAGTGAGTCCTTATAATTCGAAGTTCCATTTTTAAAGTATCTGGGGTGTCTTCCTCCATCTTGGATTTTGAAATAGCAGATAACAATAGGTCTAGATTTTTAATGAAATGTGCAAATTTCGAGAGTAGTATGTAATTCATGTGTGAGACTTTTCATGTTAATATAGAAAATTATGTGTTTTATCATATTTACGACCGTATTTTACAAAAAACAGATTATTACTTTTTTTAATCAATTTTTTTTTCAACTTTGCCACATAATGGGAGATAACATAGATAAGTAACTTTTACAATAGAATGTGTTATGAATTTACATTTTCATTAAAATTGGAACATGTAGTATTGAAGATTTTGTTAGGATTGGGTATGTATTTCTTTTTCCACAGTCGTGCTATAAAGAGGACAAGGTATGGAATATATGAGGATATACATATATATATATAATTCGTCTTAACAACAGCCAAACAATGTTAGACATTGTTGGGCTGTTGTTTAGACGACTTATATATACAGAATGTATTTTCAGCCTTGTATCACCATCACTGCTGGTGATCCGATGGATAAAATCTGTTGTAGAGTCGTCACTGGTTCAGACGTACATATATATATAGTTTTTATATATCCAACGCAATCATAGGTTTGAACGTTGTTTTCAATTTAGACTTATACAATTTACAATTATACAATTATATAATAAGTCTATAAAAAGGACCAACCAGCAAATTTAATCAGTACCGGATCGTAGACGATACTGCGCAGATATGGAAAAAAATATACAAGTCTAATGATTTGCACAACGGTACTAATATAAGATGGTTTTATACGAATATTACCATCTTATATTAGTACCGTTGTGCGAATCTTTTAGACTTATATATTCATATATATATATATATATTAAATATATGTCGTGTACACGTTGCGATTTTGTACCTGTTATAACATGTACAAAAATATTGTACATGTTATAACTTGTATTATGCAAAAATACAAGTTATAACATGTACAAAAATACCTCGTACATGTTATAACATGTACAAAATATTGCTTAAATATTGTTTTAACTTGTACAAAATTTATAAAATAAATTTAAATAAAGCTGAATATACATTTGGAATTTATTGAATAATTAAGAACAATAAACAAAAGCTTTGAATGTTTTTTCTTTAGAGTACAGTGATCACAAAGTTTCAGAAATGATTTTATTGCTTCATGTCTTATGCTGGCATAATGCTTTTTCATGTAATTGTATGTTTTATGCAGTCCACCACGGCCTACAGTAGTGTGACGCTGTTGTATAATTGCATACATTTCCTCAATGACAACAAAGTAGATAACTGGTTCATCTGAAATTTTTAAGAACATGCCTTAAAAGTTTGGGTAATACCCCTCCCCGCTTTGTTTAGCATGCAAAAATTAAAGCAATGTCTCCTATGAGAGGAAATGGTTATCATTGGACCACGCTTAATTATAAATATATTAAGAGTTATTGAATCTACTCTTCAAAATGTTTGGCCTTCAGCATAACTGATGTAAATATTATACTTCAAATTATTATTTTTTTGATAACTAATAAGATCATTGCATGAGGCGAATGTCATTTTGATGTTTTAAATATCTATCCTCTACTTTGAAAACAGGGTATTGTTTGTAGAGAAATTTTCTCGACATATCAAGGATTTCATTATAAAATCTATCCTGGCTATCCTCTTGCATCTTAAGTGTCAACTAGTATGAACGTATTTTACTTTTGCCTTCGAAGTGGACACTCAAAATTATGATTGATCAGATTAGAATACTGAATTGTGTTTGTTGACTGCATGTGTATTTCAAAAGGTATTCAGAAGTTATAAAAACTTTTCATCTGGTCTTTAACTGTATCAAAAGGGACAAAACACACTAACATGAATGAAAAATAAAAAATTATGAAAACATTATTGAGCTTAATAACATCTGTTGCAATAATAGAAACATATCTTTATTTTCAAAATTTGTACAAGTTAAAACCATTTTTAAGCAATATTTTGTACATGTTATAATATGTACGAGGTACTTTTGTACATGTTATAACTTGTATGTTTGCAGTGTACAATTTATAACATGTACAATATTTTTGTACATGTTATAACATGTACAAAATCGCAACTTGTACACGACATATATATATAAATGAGGATAAAGGTAAAACTTATTATCTACCTTTACAATAGCATGTTGTTGGAACGACCATCATGATGGTGGAATTTGTTATGCTATATGTGTTATGTACTTTTTGTCTATAATTATTTGTATAAATTTGTCGATTTTTCTAAATCGGCTAATCATCATCATTGAACGTTATAACATAGTGTGGCGACGGAAACAAAATTGAATACTAAATGTTTTGTGATATAACATTATTAATTGGTCAAATGAATTATCATGTTGATTTATTTGTCTCATTTTTACGTATGGTTGCATGTCTCCCAGATTACCCTTTGCAGATTCCATCTTTTCGAAGTGTTCTACACAAGGTTGTACACAGGTTAAATAACAGAAGAAAAAAGTATGTTGTAAGATGATCGATGTTTTTACCATTCGAAAAAAAATGTGTAAAACTTACGCATAACCCACTTGATGTTTCAATGAGATATAATGTTTCAAGCTTAAAGTTTATCGGATGTCTGATTTAGTAAGAGTACAGGTATTTATCATATTATTGTTTTCCGAACTTTTTGTCCGTAGATCATTCGTTTAAAAAGCGGTTTGGTGTCTGTAAAACCCCCGTTTAAAAAGCGGTTTGGTGTCTGTAAAACCCCCGTTTAAAAAGCGGTTGTCTGTAAAACCCCCGTTTAAAAAGCGGTTTGGTGTCTGTAAAACCCCCGTTTAAAAAGCGGTTTGGTGTCTGTAAAACCCCCGTTTAAAAAGCGGTTTGGTGTCTGTAAAACCCCCGTTTAAAAAGCGGTTTGGTGTCTGTAAAACCCCCGTTTAAAAAGCGGTTTGGTGTCTGTAAAACCCCCGTTTAAAAAGCGGTTGTCTGTAAAACCCCCGTTTAAAAAGCGGTTTGGTGTCTGTAAAACCCCCGTTTAAAAAGCGGTTTGGTGTCTGTAAAACCCCCGTTTAAAAAGCGGTTTGGTGTCTGTAAAACCCCCGTTTAAAATGCATGTTTTCTAGATGACATTTATGTTTGAAACGAGCGTGTTTAACCCCGCCGCATTTTTGCGCCTGTCCCAAGTCAGGAGCCTCTAGCCTTTGTTAGTCTTGTATTATTTTTAATTGTAGTTTATTGTGTTCAATTTGGAGTTTAGTATGGCGTTCATTATCACTGAACTAGTATATATATTTGTTTAGGGGCCAGATGAGGGACGCCTCCGGGTGCGGGAATTTCTCGCTGCATTGAAGACCTGTTGGTGACCTTCTGCTGTTGTCTGTTCTATGGTCGGGTTGTTGTCTCTTTGACACATTCCCCATTTCCATTCTCAATTTTATTATTCACATATTTGTCCTTTGGTCTTGATGGATAGTTGTCTAAATGATAATCATACCATATTTATGTAAAACGTACGTCTCTATGCTTTTGCTACATCTTAAAGTTTAGAAATCTAATTAATACTGTAATTGTTATGCATAAGTCCATATGACAAACTATTGTAGATTCCGTAACTTTAAGCGAACACTATAGAGTATTACTTGGAAAGGAGTTAATCATTGATCCAATTTACCCACTGTTTGAAAAGGAGAACAAGACAACTGCTCTGCCCTAATTTCACTCTATTTCAAATATTGGTGCACTTATAGACAAACTAGACGAGTGTTCTTCAAATAATAGCATGACTGTTACATTTTAGCTCCCCTTTCAAAACATTCAATTAAATTAAAAGTTATTACATTTTACAGTTATACCAGAAAAACGTGTCCGTCTTATTCACTCAAGCCATACTAGCACATGTAAGCACCAAAGCTTGCTTGGTTCCTTTATTTTCTTACTGCGTCCCCTTTTACTTGAGAAATGGTGTATCCAGAGATATCTTAGTAATTCGACAAACCTTTACAAAGTAATTTGTGCTTTTAGTTACGGTAGTGATGAAATGGACTTGATGGGGTGTCGGGACTATTGGGGTGATGTCCTAATGGGGTGTTGGAATATCGGGACTGCCCCTTTTATTACTCGCTGTTATTCAAATGCAAAATATAAAATTCAAAAAGAGCAAAACTTGACTTCGAGTAAAATAAGAAGAACGCTGTACGTAAAATGTAATCTTTCATAAACTAATTGAAAGTTTACCATGTTAATATCATTTGAAATTGTCTTTCATTATTTGTTTTATTATTGTTTTTGCTTTTTAATTTATATATTTTTGCTTTATTTTTTTTTTTCCATTGAATAGTTTTTTAAATTGTGTGTGTGTTTAGTGCACTGGATTTTTTAATGTAACAGTTTTTTCAACATTATTTATGATGGCATTATGACTGTGTGCACATTGTCCTGATGTAATTGATTGTGTATGTTATTGTTTATACTTTTGGATTAAATTTTATCCATACCTATATAATTAAAGACCTCGGTAGCCGAGTGGTCTAGGTAGTCCAACTACTGTCTCATTAAGCTGCTAACACTGAGGTTGTGAGTTCGAATCCCGCACGTGGCAGGTGCATACGACTATAATCTCTTTGACAAGGAGTGTCACTTTTCGTACCAAAGGTCGTTGGTTCTCTCCATTCATTTCGGTTTTCTTCACCAATAAAAACTGAACACAACGAAATACCCTATAATACTGAAAGTGGCGTTAAACACCAATCAATCAATCACTCAATCAATCAATCAATCAGGCAGAAATATTTTAATTTTTTAGCGACGTAACAATCCTGGCTTATATTATTAAAGGATTTTGATCTCTTTAAAATCTACACACAGACAAAATGGCGGGGTTAAATTCAATCTTATTAAGACAAGATCTGTGAATCGCTACAATAGATCTGAATTTTGATCAGATCGGGTTCAACTCATGTTTCTGCAGGGTACAACAGCTTCCGTTTCAACCGTTGTTTTTTGGGTACTGAAGTATATTATGCTTTAAACTAATAGACTTCTCAAACTTCCGACTTACCTGAACTGTGTGGATCATTGATATGTGGGTCCCCAAACCTCTGGCTTACATATCTAGACCGTTGAAAATTTTATACTCAAGCCTGTGTCTTATTTCTTAGTTATTACTTATGTATTGAAGTCTAAGACAGAATTATAATTTATTAAGTTCGAAAGTTCAATAATTGTTTTGCACTGTGACACTGGCCGTGATCTGACGAATTCTGGTGTTAGCGAATAGTTACATGAACACGTGATCGTATAGTGGTATAAC